TATGACTGAAAAAAGTATTGAGTGGGGTAGTTTTTTAGCCATTGTTAAAAAAAAATATTGCTTGGCATCTTCTAAACTCAATGGACATTTTCGGTTCTAGTTAGAGAAAAAAGTTGTTAAGTATAAAAGCCTTTCCAAGGCTGAATAGCAATTCAAAGGTTTGAACCCCAATTGCAATTTCTATACCACACTTAAGTATCATAAAATATAAATCTCTAGACACTGAGCACATCAAGTGAACATGTACCAGCAGACACCTTAAGTTTTAAAATGTAAAACAGATGCTGAAAAAAAAATCACTGATAGATCATGGCTCTTTCTGGAAAAGAAAAAAATAAGACTAATGGTGTGTTGTGTAGTATTAGCTGTTATTTCCTTTCAGATTAACTGCTACAGAAGCAGTAACTGATGTGGAACCATAAGCAAGATGAACAATAACAGACCTTATGCCCCCAAATTTATCAATTATTCAATGCTGTTTGGCTTGGTTAAGCCTATTGTAAGTGATAAGAATTCAAGCAACCTCATGGGCCATTTTAAAATTAGGTTTTCCCACCCTGCTGGTGTATCTCAGTGGTTGAACATCAACCTATAAACTAGGAAGTCACAGTTCAATTCCCGGTCAGGGCTCAATCCCCATTAGGGGGCGCGCAGGAGGCAGCTGATCAATGATTTTCTCTCATCATTGATGTTTCTATCTCTCTCCCTTCCTCTCTGAAATCAACAAAAATATATTTAAAAAAAAATAAAGTTAGATTTTTCCCTTCTTTCACTTTACAAATATTTTTTGTAAATATTTTCCTAACAATTCATGTGCTAAGTCACAAGGGGAAACTATGAATTAAAAAAAAAAAAATCAGGCTTTGGAACAATATAAATATAGATACACCAAAAAAACAAACAACTCAGAGTGAAGAATGTAGTAAAGGCAAGAAATCCATATGGGCTATTATCATCTCTAATCCTGTCACTGAGTAAAACTTACTCTCAATTTATTCATCAGAAACATCCAAATAACAATGGACTGCTGAAATGCTTACCTGTTAATTCTATGAGTAAGGGAATGAAATATGTCATTGAAATAAAAGAGCTATATACCTTCATTAACGAAATAGTCCAGATTAATTCACAGCAAGCAACAATCAACAAACAAAAATGCTATAGTGTTAGAGACTCAGGCACATCTGTTTAATCCTTTTACTAATGCTTCATAACTTTAAGCAAGTAACTAAATTGTGCCAGGCCCCAGTTTCCAAATCTGTAAAATTGTGAGTTAACGTAGATAATTTATTCCATTTCTAAATACAAGACTCTACAATTTACATTAAAAAAAGAAAACTCAAAAATTGTACTACATCTTAAGTATTTAAATAAAAGGGAAGGCAAATGTTAATCTGGCAAGGTAAACAAATATTTGTGTGTTGTTTTTTTTTCTCCAATACGTGTTGAATCTTAAAGGAAAAGATCACCTTTATTATTCTATTCCAATTTAGTGAATGAAACTTCTAAATAGAATTTTAGGTGTCAGGCAGGTATAGACTTACTCCAAAATATGAGATTTGGGGAAATGTTTTGATATTGTTTATGGGAGAAGAGTGGTGATCATATGTTGCTAGAATCTAAAGCCACCAAGCTGCTTTTGAGAAATGATTCAGATAGTTATTTTCCCAAAACCCTATTTACCATAAAAAAGCACAGACCATTATGGTTTTGAATCTACCAACATTCAAGATATACAGAGGCATTCAAAGTCATGGTACTTGTTAAACAATCCCTGTATTTTTTAGATTAGTTTACTTTGATTAGGAAGGGGTAGTTTAGTTTCAAGGAAATTAACCTATAATTTCATCCACTTTTTCTATCATATTCTAATGTTAAAATTCTTCATATCCTAATATTTCATCAAACACAACTGACATAGGATAAAAAAACAGGCCTACATAATCATATCAGTCTGGCTATTAAATTAAAACTCAGCTCTTCCTACAAATATATCTCCAAATCAATTGACTTATAAACCTAATTCTATGTCTTTTTTAAAGTTGGAATATGTTTATTATACAGTATCTAAGTTAAACTAGAAGTCTAAATTACAATAGTAATATATGACAGTGTTCATATTTTTAATTAAAAAGCACTTATAAATCAACAGCAAAAAAGATGCACATCTCGATATTAATATGGAAAATGACATGAGTAGCTAAAATTATTTAATAAATAGTTAAAAAGGTATTGAGATCACATTAGTAATCAGAGTGGTATATTAAATAAGATATTATCATTCACCTATAAAATTACTAAGTATGAAAAACACTGGTTTGGTATGGATGTGGTAAATTGTTGTATTTTTTTTTAATTGAGCTTATTGGGATGACATCTACACTAATAAAAGAGAAAAATGGAAATTGGCGTACGGCGCTACCCTTTTCATTGGCTAATCAGGGCTATATGCAAATTAACTGCCAACTAAGATTGGCAGTTAACTGCCAACAAGATAGTGGTTAATTTGCATATGTAGGCACAATGCAGGGAGGCGAAAGGGAAAGCAGGAAGAAGCCCCCTGCCACTGACAGTGATCGGAAACCCAGGGGGGAGCTAAGAGCTGGCGGGCTGGGCAAAGGCGGCCCTGGGGCCCTGGGGCCCTGGGGCCCTGGGGCCGCCTTTGCCCTGCCCCCCAGCCATGATCGGAGAATCAGGCGCCTTTGCCGCCCTGGCCAGTGATAGCAGGAAGTAGGGGTGGAGCCAGCAATGGGAGCTGGGCACAGTGGAAGCTGGCAGTCCCGGGAGCTAGGGGTCCCTTGCCTGGGCCTAAAGCGAAGCCCACGATCGTGGGGGCTGCTGCAGCTGCGGGTCCCGCTGCCTGGGCCGGACGCCTAGGCCAGAGGCGTTAGGCCTGGGCAGGGGCGGAGCCTGCAACCGCGGCGAGCTGGGGGTCCCCTGCCCAGGCCTGACACCTCTGCCAGAGGCTTCAGGCCTGGTCAAGGGGCCGATCCGGTGATTGGTGATCGGAGGGTGATGAGGGTCAACTCCCCTGGCTGAGGCATCAGGCCTGGGTGGGGGGCAGAGCCGGGGATTGGGGGGATATGATGGTCCCCTTGCCCAGGCCTGAAGCCTGGGTCAGAGGCGTCAGGCTTGGGCGGGGGGTGGAGCAAGCGATCAGAGGGAGATGGGGGTCCCCTGCCCAGGCATGATTCCTGGGCCAGAGGCCTCAGGCCTGGGTGGGGGCCAGAGCCAGTGATCGGGGGGAGATGGGGGTCCCCTGTCCAAGCCTGACACCTCTGGCGGAGGCGTCAGGCCTGGGCAAGGGGCCGATCAGGCGATCGGAGGGTGATGGGGGTCTACGCCTCTGGCCGAGGCATCAGGCCTGGGCAAGGGGCAGAGCCAGCAATCGGAGGGGTCTGGGGGTCCCCTGCCTAGGCCTGATGCCTGGGCCAGAGGCATCAGGCCTGGGCTGGGGGCAGAACCAGTGATGGGGGGAAATGAGGGTCCCCTGCCCAGGCCTGACGCCTCTGTCAGAGGCGTCAGGCCTGGGCAAGGGGCCGATCCTGCGATTGGAGGGTGATGGGGGTCAACGCCTGAGGGCTCCCAGTATGTGAGAGGGGGCAGGCTGGGCTGAGGGACACTCCCCCCCACACACACACCCAGTGCACGAATTTCGTGCACCGGGCCCCTAGTTGTTAATAAAATTACACAGGGTTCAGGTGTACAATTCTATAACACATCATCTGTATACTGTATTGTGTGTTCACCACCCTAAGTCAAGTCTCCTTCCATCACCATTTATCTCTCCATATAACCTCTTCTACTTCCCTCTGGTAATTATCATACTGTTGTCTATACCTATGAGTTCTGGAGTGTTTCTTTTTTTCTTAATCCCTTCACCATTTTTTTCCCAGCCCTGCAACCCTCCCCCCCTCTGACAGTTGTCAGTCTGTTCTCTATGAATTTGTTTCTATTTTGTTTATTATTTTATTTTGTTCATTAGATTCCACATCTGAGTAAAATCATAACCTAATTTATTACCCTAATTTATTTCTCCTTCTCCCATTATTCTAGTCAAATGAATATCCTTCAAGTAAATTCAATCCTTTAATTTCTGTCTATCCTCTTTATAAGATCTTCCCTCTTTAATGAAAGAAAACTTTATTCTACATCTACCAAGCATTCTTTCTCTTCTGCTTCAAAGACCTGTTTGAAAAAACTTTCTCATGCATTATAAAACTTCATCTGTCTCAGGAGCACTTTACTAGAGAAAACAAGCAATATGAAATGAAACTTCCTTTCAGATTATTAAAATAAACATGTCCCAGCCGGTGTGGCTTTGTGGTTGAGAGCCAACCTATGAACCAGGATATCAAAGTTCAATTCCCGGTCAAGGCACATGCCTGGGCTGTGGGCTCAATCCCCAGTGGGGGACGTGCGGGAGGCAGCCGATCAATGCTTCTCTCTCATCATTGATGTTTCTATACCTCACTCCCCTTCTCTGAAATCAATAAAAATATATTTAAAAATAAGATAAAATATGAAGTTTTACTTAGAGATTTTCTCTATATCCTAAAGTAAAGTAAAAGCATATATAAATATATTAGATGGACTTTGAGGATTATATGCATTTCCCCCATGTCAACTTTTCATCTCTTCGTATTTATGTGCTACATTCTGAGATAATCTACATCTTAAATAATTTTGTAGCACATTAATTTGTTTTATGACCATATCACACTCTTCTGCTATGAGGGGTTATATTTAGTATTTTACCTAAAGCAAAAACTCTCTCTGGTGTTTTATGTAATGTGTTCATTAATGGGGTGGGAGATAGGTAGATGTTTGTGCTTAATATGTCATCTTGAGCCAATAGCAATAATCTCAATAATAATGGTCATTTAATGTAAAGCATAGTAAATCATACACAGGATTTAATTTTAAACTTAAACATTATAAGCATCACTTTGTGACATTAATTCCCAAATGATTTTCAATAATGGCTAATAAATACTTACCAGGAAAAGCATCAAAAGTAATTCTGTCTCCAGGAACAGATCCAATAGGAGGTGCTAAGATTTCAACTTTCTCTGGTGAACTAGCACACATCACCATTGCTTGAGATAATATTCCCCTCATCTTTGCAGGTTTTAGGTTACAAAGTAAAATCACCATCCGATTTTGCATCTGTATCAAAAACAAATAGATGACTGAGATGTATAGAATTTGGAGTGATTATACCTAGAATACATTAAGGTACACTCAAGATGCTAAGTATCAAATGTTCTATTTTTGTGGATGTATCTTTATCTTTGTGTATTCTAAATCTTTTATTGCTGTTATAAAGCCTTATACAAATATGAAAAATAAATTTTACAACCTGACAGTGCATTACAGTTGAAGGACCAGAGAAAAGGCTTTTCAGGTAGATATTTATTTATCTATAATATATTTTTATTGTTTTCAGAGAGGAAGGGGGAAGGAGACAGAGAGAGAAACATCAATGATGAGAGAGAATGATTGATTGGCTGCCTCCTGCACACCCCCTACTGGGGATCAAGCCCACAACTGGGACATGCGCCCCTGACCAGAATCAAACCCAGGACCCTTTAGTCCACAGGCCAACGCTCTGTCCATTGAGCCAATCCAGCCAGGGCTTTAGGTAAATATTTAAAGAAATGACTGAATAAAGAAAATGTAAAAATAAAAACAAAAAACAAATTTAGTTTAAGGGACCGCTGAGGCAATATCAAACGCACTAACATTCTCATTATAGGATATACCACAGTAACCAAAACTAAGGACAAAAAACATATGATCTGCCCAGCTGGTGTGGCTCAGTGGTTGAGTGTCAACCCATGTACCGAGAGGTCATAGGTTCCATCCTGGTCAGGGCATATGCCCAGGTTGCAGGCTCAATCCCCAGCAGGGAGCATACAGAAGACAAATGATGCATTGCTATTGCTAATGGGAAATGGCAATGTAACCATGAAACAACGTAAGTCGAGTCTGACGTAATCTGAGGACTGCCTGTATATAGAAAATCCTAAAGACTCCACAGAAAAAATTTAAAACTAATAACTTCACTAAAATTGAAGGATACAAATATTTGATATTGGAAAAACTGGATAGATATGTGAAAAAAAGTGAATCTGGGCAACTTTCTTATACTCTATAAAAAAATTCAAAATGGATTAAAGGCTAAAATATTAAGTCCTAAAACCATAAAACTCCTAGAAGGAAACATAGGCAGTAAACACTGTAATCTGAACCTTAACATTTTGTTGGATATGTCCCCCTGGGTTAGGGCAATAAAAGCAAAAATAAACAAATAGGACTACATCAAACTAAAAATCGTTTGCTATGAAAAAGAAACCATCAACAAAATGAAAATACAACTTAACAAAAGGGAGAAGATATTTGCAATGACATTATATCTGATAAAGTTATAAACACTATATTAAGAACTCATACAGCTCAACATAATAAAACACACCAATTCAACTAAAAAAAGGATAGATGACCTGAACAGAAATTTTTTCCCAAAATAAACGAACATACAGATGAACAACAGACATATGAAAAGATGCTTAACATCACTAATGATCAGGGAAATAAAAATCACATGACATACCACTTCACACCCGTCAGAATGGCTATTATCAAAAAATCAACAAATAATAAGTGTTGAGAATGTGGAGAAATGGGAATCCTTACGCACTGATGGTTGGAGTGTAAAATGGTATAGCTACTATGGAAAACAGTATGAAAGTTCCTCAAAAAATTAACAAGAGGCCACCATCCAATGAAGCCCATACCAAGACCTATCATAATTAAAATACCAAGGGCTAAAGACAAGGAGAGAATCTTAAAATCAGCAAGAGAAAAGCAGTTAGTTACCTATAAGGGAGTACCCATACAACTGTCAATTGACTTCTCTAGAGAAACTCTGCAGGCCAGGAGGGAGTGGCAAGAAATATTCCAAGTGATGAATAACAAGGGCCTACAACCAAGATAATTCTACCCAGCAAAGCTATCATTTAGAATTGAAAGTCAGATAAAAAGCTTCACGACAAGAAAAAGCTAAAGGAGTTCACCACCAAATCAGTACTACATGAAATATTGAAGAATAGTCTTAAAGAGGAAGAAAGGATAAAAGATATGAACAAAATGACAATAAATACGTATCTATCAATAATTGTATCTAAAAATCAAAATAAATGAACAAGAAATCTAATGAACAAAATAAACTGATGAATAAAATAGAACCAGAGGCATGGAAACATGAAACTGACTAAGGAATCTCAGAGGGAAGGAGGAAGTTGGGGTGAGAAGAGATTAAGCAAAGATCTTCTATACATATATATGCATCACAGACAATAGAGTGGTGAAGTCCTGGAGGGTGGGGGCAGGAACCAGGAGGAGGGGGGCAATGGATGGAAAAGAAGGGGGCATCCATAACACTCTCAACAATAAAGATGAAAAAAAAAAATAGATCAAAGTTTCAAATTCCAAAGGCTCCGTCTTTGGGAGGTCTTCATGAATAAGACTCATCTTCAACAAATAACTTGAAAATGCCACTTATAAAAAAATGTTTTATACAATTACATATAAGAAATACCATACAGTTAATCTTTCAAAAGTCAGATAACATCTGTGGACCTTTACCTTTGAAAAATACATCAACCTACAAAATATTATGCAATTTGGGGGGGGGGGGGGAGAATTAAATGTCCCTGCTTCATAAATGTTTAGTAGTACTGCCTTCATGGGTTAGATACAGATGTGTATAAAGAGATTTGCTTATGGCTGTGAATGGCAGCTTTTGGAATAGAAACAGTCTGCAACTTGTGAGAACAAAAAAGATAAAGCCCCAATGAGGAGTTTTTCCAATTTAACTGGCTTACGACCAGTTGGTTCTTTTCTCCAACATCCATTCCTAAGTAGTTATGAAGGAGATCTCATCCTATACAAGATGAATATAAAGAGAAAAAACATACATGTGGCAAATCCATAAATTTTTAATAGATAAGAAAATCTTCTTCACTTATCCCCTCATTAGAGCAGCTAAATGATCCTATTAATATGAGGCAGAACACGTTACCCCTTAACTCAAAAAACTTCTAATGGTTTTCATTTCAGAATAAAAGCCAAAGTCTTTACAATGATCTAAAAGACCCGATGTTATTTGGCAAACTTATCTCAGATTTCATCTTGCATAATATTCCCCCTTCCTTTGCTGTAGTGAACATCAGAGGCATACATTTGATTCAGCAATCTATAATGCTGTTCTACCAGATGGACATTTGACTTATTTTCTCAGACCTTTTACTTAAAGATCACTTCTTTATAAGGACTTCCTAAATTACTTTATATAAAATGACATCATCATCCTAGCATCAATTCTTCCTTGATTCTTCCCTATTTTATTTTTTTCTTGATATTTATTATTTAACACTAGAGGCCCAGTGCACGAAATTTGTGAAGGGGGGGGGTCCCCTCAGCCCGACCTGCACCCTCTCTAATCCAGGAGCCCTCAGGGAATGTTCTACTAACAGCATAGGCCTGCTCCCCGTTGTTCTCTGCTCTCTGCGGAACCTGCCTGCTCTATACCACGCCGATGGGCAAGCAGGCACTGCTGGGTGCTGCCTGTGGGCCATGCTTGCTGCTCCTGCGTCACTGGGTGCTGCCTGTGGGCCGTGCTTGCCTGCTGGGCTCGCGTTGCCAGGGCACTGCCGCCAGCGTCCCACCCCGGCCGCTATGGGTGCCGCCATCTTTGTTGTGGAGTGATGGTTAATTTGCATATTACTCTTTTATTAGATAAGACTAGAGGCCTGATTTGTGCACCAGTGGAGTCCCTTGGCCTGGCCTGCCGGATCGGGCCGGATCGGGCCGAAGCGGGCTCTCCGACATCCCCTGAGGGGTCCCAGATTGCGAGAGGGCTCAGGCCAGGCTGAGGGACCCCATCAGTGCACCATCTGGGCTGGGGAGGTTGGCCAGCCAGGGAGGAACCACAGGAGGGTTTCAGGGTGTGTCTGGTCCATCTCTCTCAGTCCTGATTGGCCAAACCCTAGCAGCAAGCTAACCTACCAGTTGGAGTGTCTGCCCCCGATGGTCAGTGAACATCATAGCGACTGGTCAACTGACTGCCCCCTGGTGGTCAGTGTACATCATAGTGAGCGGTTGAGCAGCCTGAGCATATCATTAGCATATTATGCTTTGATGGTTGAACGGACAACCAGACGACCGGACACTTAGCGTATTAGGTTTTTATTATCTAGGATAATATTGTGTTACTATAAGCCCGACTTGCTCAAAATTTGTGCAAGAGTAGGCCCTTCCTTCCATCAGCTGCCAGCACTGACTTCCCTCTGGAACCCGGGACCAGACTTCCCTCGCAGCTTTGGCTTTATCTGGAAGGACGTCTGGTCTAATTAGCATATGATGCTTTTATTATTATAGATGATTTCCTGATGTCCTCATAGGTATGTGAACCTCACAAAAGGATTTAAAAAATGAACACAAACAAATCTATCATTAATTTCATCTTAATTTCACTGCTTTGTCCCTTGTCTAGCATACAGTTTCTGGTACACTGCAGGAGCTCAATAAATATTTGCATCTAGAAAGATGAATTAATAAATGTAAAGATTTATCCAAGTTCACAAATTCAATAAGCAACAGAGCTGGCAATGGATAGAGAGGCAGAACTATCTCAATGTTGAAGTCTATGGTCTTTGCAATATCCCTGAAGTACCATGGGGCAGAGAAAATAGGTAGGTGATTAAAATTACCCATAAGATATCTTGAAAGAGCAAATTAAAAACTATTACTGTCTTTAATTTATGCCACTGTCATTGGAAATACATATATATATCACCATACATATACATATGCTGTATACATATGTGTATAAAAAATACTTATTTTTATACTTTTAAATACCTAAATAATAACAAAGTACAAAACATCTAACTTTTAACAACTAAAGGAATAACATTAAAATCTGCAGTTCAATCTCCATGATTTCCTCTCCTGTTTTCTCTTAAAGTATGAAAATATTTCTTTAGTTATAAAGAAATAAAACCTGTTCTTTTATTTTTATTTATATATTTTTAAAATATCTTATTGATTGATTTTGAGACAGAGAAAGTGGTAGAGGGAGTATGGGGGGGGGGAGAGTGCAAGAGCGAAACATTAACTTATTGTTCCACTTATTTATGCATTAATTGCATAAACTGTATGTGCCCTGACCAGGGATAGAACTTGCAACCTTGGTGTATCAGGATGATGCTCTAACCAACTGAGCTACTCAGCCAGGGCTGTTATTTTACTTTTAGATTGGGTGTTTCCTAGGTTTATATAACAGTGATTTTAAAAAATCGAGGAATAATAAAATTCCATGAGAAACAATGATGATACACACACCTAAACACAGTATTTTACATACACCAAACTAAAAACATTTTTTAATTGAGAAAAATGTATCTTCTTTTCATCCTTATGAGTCAAATCCTAATATATGGATTTTTTGCAAGAGTTTCTGTACTTTTTTGTGTAATTCATCACATTCAAACTAATCAATTGAACTAATCAATACTGGCTGCTGTTGTTGGTCATCTAATACAAAATTATATGGAAAAAACATCTAAAGAAAGAGGAAATGAAAGCATCATGTGTACGCAGAAGTTAGTTGTACAAATTACCTGGTCAAGAGGAACATGATTCACCAGGCCACTGACAACTGTCCTTGGGGCTGCTTCTCCAACATCTACTTCTTCTACATACAAAGAATCTGCATCAGGATGTTTTTTAGCAGTGATGATACAACCAATTCGAAGATCCAGACGGGAAACATCTATTGGTTTGGAGTCAGCACTTCCTGCTACTGATTGTTGTTTTTTTTCCTTTTTCTCTCCTAAAGAATATTTAGAAATGGGTAAACATCAGAAGTAAAACAAAAATAAACTAGAAAACACTTTATAACATTGATACCGATGAACTTAAAAAGAAAAAAAAGTGTTTATATCCTGCCTTCACTTAAATAACAAAGGAAATAATTATTTATCCAAGTCATAGCATCTTGAGCCCTATTTTAGCTATTTCTCTGTTGAATAACTACCTTTATCTCCAGTTAAAGGGACAAAAAGTTGGTAAACTATAGTTTATGGGCCAAATCCAGCATGCTGTTTCTGTCAAAGTTTTATTTGAACACAACCATGTTTGTTCATATACATATCGTCTATGACAGGTTTTACACTATGACAGAGGTGCATAGTTGTCACAGAGCCTGTAAAGCTCAAATATTTACTAACTGGCCCTTTACAAAAAAAAATTTGCATTTCCCTGAAACAGAGCTGTAGAAAATCTTTTACAATTTTTACTGTGAGTCTTTAGAAAGTGAGACATACTATATTTAGAAAGAATGCCATACTCTGTAGCCAACTGATGGAACGAACTACAAATATAATTTCCCTGATGAAATGTTTCTCTCATCAGTTAAACATACTGATAAGTATAAGTAGATAGGGGCTATACATCCTCTCCTACATCATTTTATCATTAGGTGGTATGGTTACAATGAAAGCAATTCAGACTAATTCCTCCACTTTATAAAATTTATTAAGAAGCAGGCATAAAACAATGATTCAGCCTATTCTAAAACTTGAACATCCCCATGCCTTAGTTCAGGAATTATACTTTGACTAGAATATCCTTTTCCTATCTTCACAACTTTGCACCTGTGACTTTTCTAAATGAGCCCCCCAAAAATTTACAAAAAATTCAGTCACACTAGATTACATATGGGCTTCTATACTTAATCTCTACATTCTATGTTTTTAGTTATGCTGGTTCCTATACCTCAAATGCCATACTCTTATCCTGTCGACCTGATCAACCTTCACGCATCCTTAAGGGTCCAGCTTCTGAGTTCCAATATCATACTGTTTCTAACTTTATTCTAGTTCATGAAAGTCTGAACCTTCTTTCTGACATCATTATTATAAAAAATGTTGAGATTCAATAAACCAGTCAAGAGCCAAATAACCTTAAAGTAAAATACCTTTCTTTTCAAGTTTCTCTTTCACCTTCTTTTCTTCTCCTCCTCCTCCTTGTATCTGTTCTTTGGCACCAGAAGATATGGGTGTGATTGGCATAAATTGTATTACATTTTCAGAAACCATGGAATTAGCTTGCAGTGGAGTACCAGATGGAAATGGTATTTGTTTCACTAAAACAGAAAATAAAATAGGTTAATGCCATTTACATTAAACCGACAAATAAGATAAAAACTATGAAATTGTGAATCACAAATATAAACTGTTTTAAAAAGAGAAATTCACAGTATATGATTATCAGGTCTCTATTTGTCCGAGATTGTAAAAAGGTTGCCAAAAAATTAACTAAATTTTAAACATGATAAAAGAATACAGTAGATGCATGTTTCTCCTTTAATCACTAATGATTAAACTGAAGAAATTACAGATAACATAATAGCTAAAATGTATTATGGATTTTTTTAAAAATTATGGATTCACTATGTCGCAGACACTTTTCAAAATGTATTACATGAATTAACTCATACATTCTCACGAATACCTTAAGCAGCAATTTCTATTCATATTCCCACTAACAAATGATCATCGTGAGCCAGACAGAAGTTAAAAAATCGGCCCACCACATACACGGTGAATAGGGGAATAGAATTGGTACTAAGGAAATCTATCTCCGGGGACTCTCTCTTATGGTTCAGTAAGAGAGCATGTTTATCACACAGGTTTTGTTTATACTGAACAATCAACTGAGTAAGTGTATTAATATTAGGCATTTCTGTATCAGAATTAATTTTACTTCAAAAAAAAAACGTTTTTAAAAAAATTTCTTCAGCAATATTAAAAACTTTTATTATATTGATAATATTTGAACTGTTAATATATTGATACTATTTCACTGTATTCCAAATCTCTTAGTCTTGGAAAACATTAACTAGCCTCAAATTTTTCACTAACAAATGAAATTCTCTCTAGATGGTAGTTTTAAGCATACATTATTAGTTTTTACTTACTTTAATGTAACTCACTAAGGGTAGAGGAGTTCATACTACAGTATTCAAAATAATTCACTTACAGAATGATGGTCAAAAGAAAGCAGTAAGTATACTTGGAATTCCTTAACTCACCAAAGAAGAATTTTCTATCATATAACCAAATGGCTTTGTGCATGATACTTTGAAATTGTAATAGGACTATTATTATTAGTGTTTCATAATAATGTAAATTTATCTAGACTCCTTTAAAGTAATTCAATAAAATTTTTAATTTTATTTATAATAGTTGAAATGATAATTATCTATTTTGATAATTTAAAAACTGTACAAGTTCATACAAATTATATTTCTAAGTTTCAAATTCCTCATGTAATCAAGGGTATTTATATACACTTAATTTTAAGCATAAAATACATAATGTATGTGAAACAACTACCAACACAGTGCCTAGAATATATTAAAACTTAATAAATATTAACTAAATGTTATTATGACTTATTGTCAGTAATTAAATAGGGAATGGTGATGGGCAAGTTGAAGCATAGCACAGAGTTAAAAGCATAGGTTTTGAACCCCAGCTTTGCTGTTTTTTGCATAATCTCAGGCCAGGTCATGTGGCTTTTCTGTATCTCCATTTTTCCTTCTGTAAAGGAGGACAAATATGCAAGACAGGATGCTATGAGGGTAAAATAAAATTTTAAAAAAGCATAATACCTAAATTAATAAACAATAAAATAAATAATTATTATTTTAAGTAAAACTATGTCATTTCGATATTTAATCACCTCCATTTTTAATTTCTGCCTGAATTAGCTCTTGCTTCAATTCTTCAATTTCTTTCTTCAATTTAGCATTTTCAACTCGAAGTTTCTTCTCTTCTCTCAAAGTCGACTGCAAAACTAAGATGAAGAAAATCTAGTTAAGTATAGCAGTGTTTTCTAAACGGTTCCTTATGAATACTACTTGAAAAGAGGGTATAGCCAGTATACACATAGGCAGGATAATTCTAATAAGCAAAAGTTTTTTTGGCCAGTTTCTTTACATCAGAGTTTAGTATTATTAAAACAACATGTTATTTAAAAGAGAGAAAAGATAATCTGCAAAATAATAGAATAGAAAAGGTTTTATGAATCATTTTTCTAGCTTCTGTAAAGATGCTTATGAAAATTTAACAATCTTGCTCAAAGTGTCAATAACAGATAAGACTGTAAGAGAGATAAATATTAGATATATTAAATTATTTAATTTTTAAAAGTCTGAGATCTAATTACCAAACAAGAAAAAACTATTCTCATTTTTTTTGGTCATTACCTTGTAAAAATACCTAAATAACCCTTTATACTTAATGTCTCAGAAGCTTAAGTGAGCAAACATTTAATGAGTGAAATAGCTACAAAAATTTGCTCAAGACATAATATAGATGTGTGTTAAAGGTGAGCAATTGGATATACAAAAATATAAAAGAAAAACAATGATTCTTAGTGAGGTTGGTAGCGCTCCCAATGTGGAATTTTAAAAGCCTGAGGGATTTTCAAAATAATGGGAATTATTCCTGGCATTTACTGGGTTGGGACTAGGAATGCCGGATGTCCTAACATATACTAGATAAAGATTTTGGAATTTTCATTACAAGAATAACATTGGCTATTGAAAAATAAAATATATTTAAACAAACAAAACAAAGCTCAACCTAAATCCTACAAGCAGAAATTTAGATTTGATATTTTTATACACATCATAGCAATTTTTAGGTAAAATATAAATAAGTATGGAAAAAAATTAAAAATCATTTCAGACAATGCCATAGGAGTAATATAAAAGTATACATTCTCACCCCTGGCCAGGTAGGTGAGTTGGGTTAGTGTCATCCCGATACAACAAATTTGCAGGTTTGATCCCCAATTAGGGCACATACAAGAAACAACCAACGAATGCATAAACAAGTGGAACAGTATATCAATGTTTCTCTCTCCTCCTTTCCTCTCTCTCTCTCAAATCAATTTAAAAATAATTTTAAGTATACATTCTCTTCTATACAAGCTTCAGTACATATTTGATTTCACCAATTTTCCTTCATTTTTAATCTCTAATTCTATGCCAAATTATTTTAAGTGTTATTTCCTCCAGAAATCTGAAAATAATACATTGTTTCCTCTATATATCATACATTCACTATATATCAATTCTAATTTATCTTAATTCTAGACTATCATTTCATTCCAAATTAAAATATTAAAGGAATATAAAAGTTATCATCAAGATAATGTAATAATTTATGTAATACACACTTTTTCTTGGTCTGTCAACATATGAATTCATTTTAAGTATCTTCTTAGAAAGTTTAAATTTTTCTTACTTGCTTTTTCCTTAAGAAGAGCAACTTGCTGTTTAAGATATTCAATAATTTGATCTGCCTCTGCACCTTTCTGTTCTAGTCTCTTCAAAACAGCATCATTGGTTGCCATTTTTGCCAAGAAACGGCAGAAAATCCTAAATGAAAAAATAAAAGTGATAAATTATACTGTTGAAGGAATAAATTTATTTTACAGGGCACTGTGAACAAGCAATCTAAAAAGAAAAATGTTTTCTACTGTATCAGATCAGTGTTACAAAAAAACCCACTTTTCCTACAAACCAAACCAAAGACAGAATTTTAAGGATGTAAAGTTTTAAAGAAAGCATTAAAATACTGCAGAACATTATCACACAAGACAGAAATACAAAAGGAAAAGAATAGCAATAACCTTAACTAAGCTATAACCAAGTACCATACCTGTGTTCCAAAGAATTGCTGAATTCCTTCTTATATGTTATTTTTGCATATTGCATATTCCTACTATTTACTTAATTATGTATAATGTTAAGGAGAAACGTGATTAGGAAGGACAAATATTAAAAGATCAACAATTAGGAAAACATCAATATTAATCATACGCTTACTTAGAAGTAATGTCAATAAAATTCTAATTTCTTTTACTGTGTCCTTGTAAAAGAAATTAGAATTTTAATTTTATAATAATTCATAGAAATTAGAAAACATACTGTCATGTACGGAAAAATGCATATAAGCAAAAATTCTGAGATTAATTAATCATGCTAAACTGCCAAGTACTTCACATTAAAAATGGTTAATCAGCCCTAACCAGTTTGGCTCAGTGAACAGAGTGCCAGCCTGTGAACCAAAGGTTCCTGGGTTCAATTCTGGTCAAGGGCATGTACCTTGGTTGAAGGCTCCTCTCCAGCCCGGGTCCTGGTTGGGTGCGTGCAGGAGACAACCAATTTATGTGTTCCTCTCAATACATCAATGCTTCTCTCTGTCTTTCCCTCTCTTTTCCACTCTCTCTAAAAATCAATGTAAAAATATCCTAGGGTGAGGATTCAAAAGAAAAACAAAACTAAAAAAACAAACAAACCTACACTCTTCTTTCAGGGCTCGTAATCATTATTTGCATATTAGTAGAAAACATTGGCATAAACTTATGCATTGTACTTATATTATTGAAAAATCTAATAATAGTTAATCAACAAGTACTGGAAAACTTCCCAGAACTTCTAATTCTAAAAACAATAATAGCGCTTAGCATTTGACAAAAGTCATGTCAACACATAGACCTGACTAGAAACTAATCTAAAATATCTCACAAGAATTTTTTTTTTTTTAAATATTGGGATCATAAGTAATTTTGCCAAGATAACCAGTTATTTAGGAGTAGAGAAAAAGTGGACACTGGTTAGCAGCTCGTATGTTATATAGTTATTCTTAAAATAGAGGCCTGGTGCAAGAAATTCATGCACGGGGGGGGGGGGGGGGGGGCGTCAGCCCGGCCTGCACCCTCTCCAAAACAGGACCCCTTGGAGGATGTCCGACTGCCTCTCACAATCCAGGGCCACAGGCTCCTAACCACTCGCCTGCCTGCCTGCCTGATCACCCCTAACCTCTCTGCCTGCCTGCCTGGTCGCCCCTAACCACCTCTGCCAGCCTGCCTGATTGCCCTTAACTGCTCCCCTACCGACCTGATTGCCCCTAACTGCTCCCCTGCTGGCTTGATCGCCCCTAACTGCCTCTGCCTTGGCCCACACCCGGGACCCACGATTTCCTCCTCCAGCCTGTCACAGACACCCGGGACCCAGGCTTCCCTCCCTCTGGCCAGCCGCAGTCGCAGGGGACCGTGGGTGGGCAGCTTCGCCCAGGCCATAGGCGCAGGCGCCCAGAATGGTGGGGCAGGCGGCTATCCCTCTCCCAGGCCACAGCCGCAGGCACTAGCTACCGTGACTGTGGGGCGGGCGGCCTGTCCTTCTCCCGGGCCGCAGGTGCAGCCACTGGCGCCCAGGACCACGGGGACTGTGGGGCCTGCGGACTGTCCCTCTCCTGGGCCGCAGGCGCAGGCACAGCCCCTGGAGCCCAGGACTGCGGGGCTTGTCCCTCTCTCAGGCCGCAGCCTCAGCTGCTGGTGCACAAGACAGAGGGACAGGCAGCTTGTCCCTCTCCCGGGCCGCAGTCCTAGCTGCTGGCGCCTGGGACCACAGGGCGGGCGGCTTGTCCCTCTCCCAGGCTGCAGGCGCAGGTGCAGCTGCTGGCACCCAGGACTACCGGGCATGCGGCTTGTTCCCCTCCCGGGCCGCAGCCTGGCTGGTCCCCATTCCTCTCTCACGAGCTCATTTGTGCCTTGCTGGATCCCATTCCTCTCTCACGAGCTCATTTGTGCCTGGCTGGATCCCATTCCTCTCTCAGGAGCTCATTTGTGCCTGGCTGGTCCACATTCCTCTCTCCCCGGTGTTGAGCGTCAGAGCCGTTATGGCATGAGGGCGTGATGACCATTTGCATATTAGCTCTTTATTACACAGAATTATATTTTGCCCCCAAAACTTGATTATTGCTAGAGAAATTATTGTCCTAAGATACTCTTTTAATGGGGCTTCTTTTGTGTAGTATTGTTGATATAGTGGCAGCTGAAAGTAACCTAATATGCCCTGGCTGGTTTTGCTCAGTGGTTAGAGTGATGGCCTGAGGACCACAGAGTCTTGGGTTCGATTCCCAGTCAAGGGCATGTATCTCAGTTGCAGGTTCAATCCCCAGCCTCCTGGCGGGGGGGGGAGGCGCGCATGCAGGAGGAAACCAATGAATGTGTCTCCCCCTGCCCGCCTTCCATTCTCTAAAAAAATCAATGGAAGAAATATCTTTGGGTGAGAATTAAAAAATAAAGTAACCTAATATATTACTATGTTATATAGCATAATTTATGGAGACTAGGAAAATTATTAATTATTGCATAACGAAATGAGGACTGTTCATTAGTAGTCAGAATGCAGAGTATTCTCAAATTTCAAATTCAGGTGCTCTAAAATTTATGTTTTGTTGAAATTTTTTTAATACACTATTTTTTAGAGTTGTTTTAGGATCTTAGCAAAATTGGGCAGAAAGAATTCAGTGAATTTTTCCCCCTTCCCTTAAATCAGAGCAGTATACATCATTCTCATAAAACAATTTTTTTCTTGGTGTTTATGGCCAGTTGTGTACCTTTGTCTAATTGGTATGTATGGTTTATTCTGGATTGCTTTGTCTTGAGCTGGAGCTGAGAACTGTTATGTACCAGTTCTTTTATTTACTACTAGAGGCCTGGTACACGAAATTCGTGCACAGGTGAGGCCCCTAGGCCTGTCCGGCGATCAAAGCGTGAGCGTCTGGCGTGGAAGGGCAGGTCCCAGCTGACCTCTGGGCCCTGGGCAGCACCTGGGCTGCAGGGCACTCCCTTCCACCTGAGTCAACGGGCCCTCACCCAGCTCCCTCAGTGCCCTGCCCCCCGCCACTGCCACTGGTCACCGTCTGTGGGGCTATCAGGCTCTGCTTGCACCTGCCTTGGCCTGGCACCACCCACTAACCTGCTCCACCATCCCACTGTGGTCCTGCTCTCGTCGGGGCCCCCATCAGGGCCAGCAGTGCCTCCATTGCTGCCTGCTGTCAGCGCCACATCACTGACAACCGCCATGTTCTGTGCTATCCTCTGGTGGTCAGTGCACGTCATAGTGAGCGGCCGAACTCCCGGTGGAGGAGACAATTTGCATATTAGGCTTTTATTGTATAGAAGAATGTATGTATGTATCTATTTATTTTTGTTAAGCTTTACTTGAGGATATTTTATTCATTGATTTTTTTTTTGAAAAATTTATGTATCTATGCTTCCCTTATATTTTTTGCCCTTCATTTTCTTAATTTAAAAAATGAAGGATACTTATCACCTGATTTCACCTACTTCCTTGGCATCTATTTCATCTATCTCTTTGACCTGTACTTTATGTTCTTCAGACTTTGTTCCTGATCACTGGCCTGTTGGGATTACAACTATCACCACACAGATTAGGGTTGCCTTTATATTCCAGGGTTAAAAGTGTCTGTAACTGAAAGGAAATGCTTTTAAGCAAGGCAAAACAGACTTCACCACTCCCTGTTGTCTTCCATTTATGTTACCTGCCAAATCACTAAAAAATAAAGTTCACAACCTTAATTTTACTTATAGTCCCTAATTTTGAGCTATGTGCTCAGTTTATAATAGACATAAAGTTGAAGCTGATTTTACCAAATATATGAATTTAACCTGCATCCTAAACATTAAAACACACATATAAAAGATTATTCCTGAAATTCTTATCATTTCTGAATGACTTCCCTTTACCTCAGCAATCTTCTCAGTAGTCTTCCCCACTCTGATTCTAAATTGCCAGTAATTTCTTTTAAATAATCCCCTGCCTCAGGCTCTCTATGTTAGGAACTAAATATAAACAAGTAAGGTATTGTTTTGAAATGGAAGTTTTAAGTTCAGGTTTTAAATTTTACCTTATAGTATAGGATCTCTAAAGGTATTTAAAATTGTCTCTCTGATTCCCAAAGACATCCGATTCTACTGTTTCAGAATTACAATTAGGTAAACACTTATAATCTCAGATACTTTACCACATTTCATCAAATCTAAGATACTGTCAATTGCAAAATGGCTCCAATAACACGATGCCCTATTATTTTATGTAAACAAAAAAGGCCACTGCTGATAACTCAATGTTTTCTTATCACTTAGTCAGATCTGTATCATTTATTGAAAGACCTCTTTTATTATTATTATTTTTAAAATCCACATTTGAGAATATGTTTTTCATGTATTCCAGAGAGAGAAAGAGAAATGGAGGAAGTGAGACACATCAATGGTTGCCCAGGGTCAGCAGGGAAGGCATCACAACCTGGGTATGTGCCCTGACCTGGAATAGAACTGTTAGGTAGGAAGTTAGACAAGAGAGGCTGGGGTGGGGCCTACCCTGGGGTCCTGAGAGGTGTCAGACCAACACTGCCTTCAGACTGCCACTCTATGACACACCACAATTCATTTTTAAAAAGTCTTTCCCAAGTCTAATTAAAAAAAATTAACTCACCAATCATTAATACTCTTACCTATCAAAATTAAAAACACTAAGAATATGCCCAGCAAGTGTGGCTTGGGGTTGAGCATGGACTTATGAACCAGGTCATGGTTCATTTACTGGTCAGGATATATATGCCTGGGTTTGGGGCTGGATACCCAGCAGGGAGTGAACAAGAGGCAGCTGACAATGATTCTCTCATCAGTGATGCTTCTATACGTTCTCTCCCTCCCCGTTTCCTCTCTGAAAGCAATAAAAACACTAAGAAATGACTGGCTATTTCTTATCAGCCCGCCTCAAGCCACCATCATGTATGCTCTGGATTGCTGCAAAGGTCTCCTAATGATCTTTCCTCCATCCTGGCCCCGCTTCAGTCTATCTGATGATAGCAGCCAGTGAGATCTTTTTAAAAATGAAGTCAGGCCCTAGCTGGTTTTGCTCAGTGGATAGAGTTTCAGCCTGAGGACTGAAGGGTCCCCAGTTTGAGTCAAGAGCACAGGCCCGGATTGCGGTCTCCATCCCCAGTTGGGGGCACGCAGGAGGCAGCCTATCAGTGATTCTCTCTCATCACTGATGTTTCTATCTTTCTCTTCCTCTCCCTCTCTGAAATCAATAAACATACTTAAAAAAAGAAATAAAAATGAAGTCAGATTCTAGCACTCCAAACCTGCCCATGGCTTAGATGCCCTCAAGATCCTTCAAGGACCCGCTCCTGCTGTCCCTGACTTTTGTCTCCAGCTTTAACAAAATCACTCAACTCTGACCCACAAGATTTTCGCTGTTCAGGCGAGTTTCTGCTTCATTGCTTTAGCGATGGCCGGTCGCTCTGCCTGGCTGCACGTCACCAAGATTTCTGTATGGTTAATCCTCTCCCCTCTGTCCGCTCTTCTGCTGTAGGATAGCCACTTTTTCAGTGAGACCTTCCCTGGCCACACTAAAATTTCAATCTTTATCTTCCTTCTCGGCTTTATTTTGCTCTTTAGCGATCATTACAACATAAAATATGGTGTGTTTTTCGTAACTTTGTTTAGCCCTTGTCGTCCTCGATAGAATGTTAAGCCGGGGAAGCATGAATTTGGGTCTGTTTTGTTCATTGCTCTGTTCCCAGTGCCTGGAACATAGTGGGCTCAACAAATGAATGAATTCCTGCCCTCCCCCCTTCCCCCCCCCGCCCCACGTCACCATCACAGTCCTTTGACACACACAAGCGCGCACTAAAATAAACATGTTGTGAATATACGAAAGCATCGCTTCCCTCCACCCCGCATCCCATTTCCCAAACTTGGCTCCTTCAAAACGCCCCCGGATCTTCCCTACTTCCTCTCGCCCAGATGGGTGCGTGTGAGAGCGGGCTTCCCACTGGTACCCGCAGGCCGGCTCTCACCTCCCGCGGGCTGGTTAGGGAACCGGGGACCCCACGATCGCAACCGGCCCACCCCAGACCCCCGAAGACGTCACTCACATGAATCAGCGCCCCGGGAACCCGGTCAGCCTCCGCCCGGAGCTGGGAGTCTCCCGCAGGCGACGGCGGCGAGAAAGGACCCAACGAGGTGTCCCACCGAAACGCCTGAGCGCCCCACGGACTCACCTTGCAATCCGTGGTGCCACCCCCCCCTCTTGGGTGCAGCCACGCCGCGCTTCCGGAATGCCATGCAGGAACGCCACCACCCTGGCCCTCTTCCTCGGTCGCGACGTTTTCTCGCTCCGTTGGGCAACGGGCAAGACGCCGGGCGTCGGGGTCTTTCGTCCTTGGCGCGGCGCGGCGCGGCGGCCGTGAGGTCAGAGGAAACGCCCGGGCCAAGAGGAGGGCGTGGGGGGACGGGGAGCTGTCAGGGTGAGGGCCGGGCTCGCGCCTCTCCCGGGTTCGGAGCCGGGCACCTCCGCCGGCTTGGCACGCAGCCTCCGGACCGTGCGAGCTGCGGGCGCTCCCGGGGCCGCCCCTTTTGCAGCCGCACCTGACATGCAGGCCCCGGTGCCCTAAGCAGTAGCGGCGACCCCCGCCAGAGAGACAGCCCTGGGGCCCTGTGTAGAAGCTCCTTCCCCTTGTCTCGGTGTCCGCCTGCGCCCCCAGACTCTGAGGCAGGTATTGGGGTTTCCTGCTGGTATTGGTCGTCGTGGGTGGGGCTGTAGAGCCTGGCAGGTGCAGCGAGGGGCCCCGCCTACCGCAGGGAGAGGCTGAGCGGACCCGCCAGGCTGCGGGCTGCTTACTCTGCTTGGTCCCCATCCCTGCACACGTTTACCCGAGTCCTCTGAAAGGAATCCCTGCTTCAGAGGAAGACTAAAGAGGGGGTTGGAGAAGGTGGAAATGGCCCTGTTGCTCATCACAGATGGGAACAATTGCTTTGGTTTGTTTCTGGTTGGCAAAGGTTTCCAGCGGTTCTCAACCTGTGGGTCGCGACCCCTTTGGCGGTCGAACGACCCTTTCACAGGAGTCGCCTAAGACCATCCTGCATGTCAGATATTTACATTACGATTCATACTAGTAGCAACATTACAGTTATGAAGTAGCAACGAAAATAATTTTATGGTTGGGTCACAACATGAGGAACTGTATTTAAAGGGCCAGAAGGTTGAGAACCACTGGTTTAGTCAATGACTGAGATGTAATTTCCTTGTAGAGTGGAAGGAAGCGAACAGGTGGGAGCTACTTTCGAATCCTAACTAGTTGCATTTACAAGGACCCGATGTCCCTGCTTTTGTTTGGGACAGAAAAACGACTTCTTGAGGGGAAGTATATCAAATTAATGAACTAGTTTCATTTGCTCGTTGAAACGTGTAAACTGTTTTATTATCTTTTGCCCATTTTTTTCCCTTTATTCTCCAATTTGAGTCATTTCAACTCCAGATTCTTTGAGGGCACAGATTGTGTCTTGTTCACTATAATTAGCTTGACAACTGGAAAACCACCTGGCAGGTTGTCTAAGGTCTCCAAGACATGGGTGACTGAATGAATTTTCAAACATAATTGCTTACATTGTTGTTATTCCTCAACTGATCTCTCATCTCAGCTGTTTCCCCACTACCCTAGCATTCTTCCATTCACCAAGTGAGAAAATCTCTGTGTATTTTTTATGCATGAGCCTAAGAGGCATTTAAAGCAAAACACCGATGACATGTTTTGTGCTAAATAATGTGTGTTTCTGAATAATTTGCATTTTCTTCATTTGGTTAATTTGATTTTTAGGTGTCTAAGGGATAGAGGCATCTAATTGTAATCAAATATTATAGAAGGACTGCATAATAAAATGCAACAGTTTAGTGTCTCCTTTTTTCCCCTCAGTTCTATTCTTCAGGGATAACCACTTTCAACCTCACCTAATTTTAGGTTTGCATGTTGCATAATTAGTTCAACTACTAATTCTTTTTTTGAATTGACTAAAGATAGTCCACATCATCCACAAATGTCTCTTCTACAAATAGTTATTACAATATTTAGTTTTCATATTGATTAGTTCTAAATGTAAACTCAATTTTTTTTCACATCAAATTTCAAAAATATATGTTGGCTCCTTATTTGGTAAAATAAGAAAAGTAGTAACTCTAGTTTATCCTTTACCACTTCAGAAACCAAATCTGCTCCTACCTTCTCTTAGCTGGACCTTTACTTACAAGTTGTCCAATTTGTAATATTAACATCAAATTGATTCTTTTTTACTTCCTCTACAATGACAAAAAATTATATTTTACTGTGCTTTATTTTTTGGACCATGTGCTTCTTACAATGTCTTTAACCCCTCCACACTTTCACAAAGGACTTTCTGATTTATTTTGAGGAAGAGGTACATATGCTTTTGTCACCTAGTCCTTCCATGTTGTACTTTCTTCACCACGTATTCTCATTCTTTGTATGAGAAGCTTCCATTTCATTTCTGTGCTTGAAGATGTTTCCCTTGGATCCCAATCACTTTCTGTTTAATTTGAATAGATTCTATTCTAGTCCTTTTGTGCAGCTTCTTTCCTGGATTACATTCATTGAACTCTTGAGTAAGTTGCAATGATTTTTAACCCAACATCTTCTATTATTTGCTTTTCTCCTCTAAAGAAACTAAGATATGTGGGTGGTAATTTTATTTTTTAGTGGGTGGTAGTTTTATTTTTTATTTGTTTGAATAGCTGTATATTATCATGTTGCTGTTATGGTTGATAGTTTTGCTGGGTATAGGAACCAAATCTTCCAAGAATTCACCATCTAACCTTCAGTGTTGCTCATGAGAAGATGAAAATGTCAGTCTGATCTTAATTTTTTGGTGCCAGAATTATTTGTTTGCTTCAGAAATTATTAAATTTTTTAGTTATGCCTCATTTTTGAAAATTTGTTACGATATACCTTTCTTAAATATATTTTTACTAGAGGCCCGGTGCACAAAAATTTGTGCACTCAGGGCGGGGGGGGGGGGGGAGGTCCCTCAGCCTGGCCTGTGCCCTCTCACAGTCTGGGACCCCTCAGGGGATGACCACCTGCTGGCTTAGGCCCGCTTCCCGGGGGATCGGGCCTAAGCTGGCAGTCAGACATCCCTCTGGCAGCCTGGGAGCCCTCGGGGGATGTCCACTTGCCAGCGGGGAGCAGGCCTAAGCTGCAGTCTGACATCCTTAGTGCTGCTGAGGAGGCGGGAGAGGCTCCCACCACCACCACTGTGCTGGCAGCCATCAGCCTGGCTTGTGGCTGAGCAGAGCTCCCCCTGTGGGAGTGCACTGACCACCAGGGGGCAGCTCCTGCATTGAGCATCTGCCCCCTAGTGGTCAGTGTGTGTCATAGTGACCAGTCATTCCCAGTGGTTCTGCTGTTAGGGTCAATTTGCATATTATCCTTTTATTATATAGGATAGAGGCCTGGTGGGGGCCAGCTGGTTTGCCCTGAAGGGTGTCGTGGATCAGGGTGGGGGTCCCGCTGGGGAGCCTGGCCAGCCTGGGTGAGGGGCTGATGGCCATTTTCAGGTTGGCCACACCACCTTCAGGGTGGGGGTCCCTACTGGGGTGCCTGGCCAGCCTGGGTGAGGGGCTGATGTCTGTTTTCAGGCTGGCCACGCCCCCCCCCCCCCCCCCCGGCCACCCAAGCTCCCAGCCTCTCCTTTTTTTCTTATTTTTCCTTTTTCTGGGATTTATTTATCTTCTATAATTGAAACTTTGTAGCCTTGAGAGGAGGCCAGGTCCCTGGCAACCCAGGCTCCCAGCCCCACCGTGAGCAGAGGCCATAGCCGGCTGTAAGCAGGTATCTGGGATTTATTTATCTTCTATAATTGAAACTTTGTAGCCTTGAGCGTAGCCCAGGGCCGGCCAGGGCAGGTGGGAAGCTTGGCTTCCTCCATCACAGGGGGCAACCCAAGCCTCCTGCTCGCTCCAGCTCCATGGCCGCAACCATCTTAGTTGGGTTAATTTGCATACTCTCTCCTGATTGGCTGGTGGGTGTGGCTTGAGTGTAGCGGAAGGACAGTTAATTTGCATGTTTCTCTTTTATTATATAGTATTAATTTTAGAGAGGAAGGGTGAGGGAGAGAGAGAGATAGAAACATCAATAATGAGAAAGAATCATTGATCCACTGATTCCTGCACACCCTGTACTGGGGATCGAGCCTGCAACCCAGGTATATGTCCTGACAGGAAATGGAATCATTACTTTCTGGTTCATAGGTCGATACTCAACCACTGAACCACACCAGCCAAATTATTATGATATATCTTGGTGTGAATTTATTCTCCTTGCAATGAACTTATTCAAAGGTGCTAGAATAAATGTCTCAGGTTAGTCTTTTTTCATTTATCCTCCTTGAAATTATAAGACTTTTTCATTTTAAGGTTTATGTTTCCCTTCATCTATGGGGAATTTTCGCCTATTCTGTTTTACTTTTATTCTCCTTAGTTTTTCTCTGTTGTTTTGAAACTCATTAAGGTAATTCTTTGCTTGATTCACATGTCTATTATCTTCTTGTATGCTTTTATCTATTTGCCTTTTTACTCTATGTTCTAAGCACATGTAATTTGGTAATCACATCAAGCACTCATTTAATTATTCTTTTCTCATATTTTCTCAATTTTCTTTGTTTACTTTTTTGCTTTTTATTATCAGATGAAATTTACATATATTAAATAGTGTCAAATTGTGGTCCATAGTGATTCTACCAATTTCCATTCAGTTTCTTCATATCCTCCTAATATGTACTAGTGGTCCAGTGCATGAATTCATGCACATTGAAAGGAAATTAATTAGAAGAAATATTTTAATGTTGCTATTTGTTCTTTCTCTATAATAGAAGTGTCAACCAAATTCACAGTCGACAATGACAGATTGAAACACACGCGTGCGATTGGCGCCAGCAAGAGCTTTATATGTATCACACATGTGCGAGTCAACTTAGCCTTTTATTTATATAGAATAAACTTGCTTAATTAGAACTGATTTCTGATTTAGCTAAACTTTTTCCAGCCCAGTGACGCACCGCAACTTCTCTTTCAGGCATTGTCATCAACACAGTAAATATCAACACGAAGCAGATTATTATTGTAGATCACGCAGGGAGAACAAAGGGTAAAATATTTAACTGCAGCATTGTTTCACTATATTCTGTGCAGTGAGAAAATTTGAAGTCATTTTCAAG